CCATTTTGTTTCATGTTAAGTAGAGTAAAGTTAGAATGAAGAAAACGAGAGAACTAATACTACTTCATGAAGTCACTGATTGTTCTTTTAAGTTTTGTCGACAACAATAAACTTTATGGCTGATGACTTCAAGATGTCAGTATTCAATGATTGAGTTCATGAAAATACTTCTTTCTTAACTGATAACAGTAACGTAAAAATATTTCAGCTTATTTTCCATCCTAGTTTGTGAAATCTTGTCGTATCTCTATTAACAAAGCACAATTCAGACAAGAAAACTTTCTTTACGATGAATCATTTTCAGAAGCTGTACAACTATAGCTATAGTTACAACAAAAATATATTTCCATCATTTGAGAATGGATCGATGCAAGGTTATCAAAGTTGTTTATCGGATTACAATAAGTAAACAGATAATAAGAAAAATAAGTCAGTAAAATGTCGTAGGAAAATTATGATAAAGGTCAGATTGAAGATTGGATGTGTCTCTTTGGACGCAGACTTCAGGCTTAAGCTGATGAAGTGCCAAGACTTCGTCAATTTTCAGCTGGCGAATCTGTACTCCCTTCGAAATGTTTGATTTCACTTTATGGATGACTTTAAAAGAAGATTCTGGTAGGACAGAGTGATTAGAATAAACCAGATGATCAAGAATCCATCTGTTGATTACTACTGTTTTTATTTCTTCTTTCCATCCTCTGATTTCTTCCTATACTTTTTTAAAGTGTTATAAATTGAGATGGTGCAGTATTGCAGGGAAGTATACACTATCATCCCTGTCCTTTTTCAGTGTTCTTCTGTTTGTACACCTTTTAATCTAATATTTTCACCCTCCTTCGCTTGTGTGCCTGTTCCAATTTGTCTAATTTCCAAGTTACTGGAGTTAGGCTATAGTTTCAGTATCGTTCATTGATCGTCAGCTAAGATAAGCAAGAGACCACTTTATAGCCAATTAAATGTTCCATACGTCTCCATTGAGATATATCATCGATGCCATTAATCACACATTTGATCTTTGAATAACCACTGACCCTTTGCAATTTTTTAATACGTATATATATATGCTTGAACGGTACATATGTCTGAGTTTATGTTCATCAGTGAACCATATTGAACGTCAGAATAAAGTACATCAGCTATCATTCTCAGTGTTTCAAAAATACTTACTGAACTTGGAACAGACTGTCAATATGAAACAACTTAAAGAGAATCTTGTACGACTTTAGGAGTAAATTGTTCACTATTTCTTCCATACATTCGATTTCACTACCATTTTTTAAAAACAAAAATAGATTAGAACTACTTTCACCTCAAACAAATAATTACTCAACAACAGAATCAACTCACTCACAACTTATCGACGCCATAACTGTGTAACATTTTAAAAATCTATTCACTTCATTGGCGCTGAGCTATAATTGTAGATTTTTTTCAGTAACGATTTCTTCCCGTCCAACATCTGTTTCACATGCTGAGCCATCGTATTTAGCGACATGAAATGTTTGCGGAAATGGGATTAGGTGGGAAAGAAGCTATAACTGGTTAGACCGAATATGATACCACAATATAAAAGTATAGTTCAGACATAAAGACAGATCAGCTTAGAAATTCACTAAAAAGCATGGCGTTTTACTTCAAAACAGGTCCTCGAGGAATCTACTGAAATAGGATGATGTCAAAATCAATAAGAGGACTGCGAACCGAGGAAAAAAGATTAACGATATATATTCAGAACCAGGAAGATGTTGAAGAGCTAATACATCTAAGATAGTGAGGTATATTTCAAGTCCTATTGGTTAGTTTTCAGTCTTGATTTCTTTAGAGACTCAGCTTTGCAAAACACACATTTCTACACCGCTACAACTGACGGTCAGGGAATCTATGTACTAGTTACCCATTTCGATCTGCCTAATATTTCTAGTAGCGTGAATGATTAGCAGGAATGTGTTAAATATACTTCAGCCAGCTAAATTTCATTAAAATTGACTCATGAGAAATTTGTGAGGTTTAGTTGTGAACATGCAAACACTTGTGAAGTTTCTCTTCATTTTCTAGTAGGCAGTGTAATACAAAAAGTTGAATAATTTTGTTTCTATTCCAGATTGCTGAACTAAGTTTACACTGAATAAGTCCATTTCACTCACTTTCAATCTTGAAATTTATTTATGGCATTTTGAGTTCAGAAGTACTTAATCTTCTTTTACATGCTTAGCTAAATATTATTCCCAGTCGTAACACTGAGTGTTTTGTTCACGTAGTAGTATACTAAACTGTGCATTGTGTTTCTGAATTACGTTGACGTAATGAGTAATGGTATTAATGATTAAATAACAAGAACCTCCAGAGAATTCTTATCACTACTCTTGAAGATAGTCGTTCTGCAGGTAGAACAACTGGAATGACCTCTGGCATTTGTAGGGATCGATCGGCTGTCCAGTCAGAGACCATCAGTTACAACCGCTACACTACCTTTACTTTTCTTGACTACTCATTATTTCTGCATGCATAAACTGATTTGTTTTTTAACTGTAAGATATTATTGGTAATACTTTAAATGAAACCCACTGTTTACTATAGAGGCCTCTGTGAGTATGCTAGAAAGTTATCGGAATTTTAGGACAATAATTAAAGGGCAACTGTCCACTGAAATAATGGCACACTAAGCAAACATTTACTCCCCTACAATATAATGATTTTATCATATAGATGTATAGCAGAAAAATACTCTGACAAAATACAGTTTATGGAGTAATGTGAATTTCGTAACACTATTTATTCAACAATTACAAATTTAAAATTTACTATACAGTAAAAAATGCAGAAAGTGATAAGTTTGATAATGTAAAAAATAAAATATGCTTTGGTTTCGGTGATTTGAAATAAGTTTAGGTCAGTCTACCATGTCACCAAAAATCAAGGACTTTGGATAAGTTTTGACAGCCTAAAGCCTACAGGTGTTTAGAACTTCACTGCGGTTTTGACAACAACATTTCAAAATCGTTTAAAGTTATAACGAAGCAGATGAGCTTGAATTAAGCAATGATGATCCAAAAAGGCTAAAAATAGTTTCATGTATTAATAAAAAAAGGAATAGTTGTAAGATATTTCAGTTGACTGCATGCAATTTGCAAGAAGCCCTGGACCTAGGTTTCGTGCTTGATTTCACTCGTCAGAAAGGTGTGTCTGCAATATGGTGTAGGCTGGTACCCCCAATAAGATTTGGACCCGCTCCAACCAGTGAAACCATCACGAATACGGTGATTCACTTCCGTAGTGAAATTTCTCCCAATAAAAAAATTAAATGTCCGTTTCTGCCTATTGAAGAGTAAGGTGATAAGTCTTAAATTTTTTTTCGTAAGTGTAATTCTTACGCTGTTTGCAAGTTAAAAGTATCCTTTAAAAGTGCAAACTCGTAAAGATTTATATGTAAGGCATTTCTGAAAGCTAAAGAGAGACGCTACTCTCAAGTGTGTTAAAGCTGCATCATACATGGAAAAGTTGTCAATCAGTATTACGATCGCTAACCTATGGAATCTACTCAATGGACCTGATTGGGAGACAAGTAGAAAATGCTATGATTTGACACACTTTGACAAATTTAAAAAAGAACCACGACCTAGCAGACCTGTGGAATGTGTAATTTTATTTCAAAGATGTTTATCGGCTACATATGACCTGAAATTATAATAAAACAATTTGGATTCTTAAATGCATAACATACTCTAAAGGTTTTGAAAAAGTGGAAACAGATGCAGAATTTTGCACTAACAGTATGAAAGTGAATTGGTAAAAGAAGAAAACAGGAAGTAAATACTCTAAGTAAGGTCAATGATAATTTATATATGATTATCTCGTTAGTTCTAGGTTTGTAAACTAAAAACTAGGTCATACAAACAAAAACATGAAGAAGTGATGTTACTAGACAGTTGACAAATTAAGCAATAACGCAGATTATCAGAAAGTATCGGGATAGCATCGAATTATCACAGCTGAGAAGTGTTCAGAGATCAAGTTTGAAATATCAGACAGCAAGGGCTTCAACAAAGTGTAATGAACCTGTGAAATTTATTTTATTCAAATAGCAAACGCCCTTAAGCTCATTAGTGGCCTGCTTTGAGATGAAATTCCTCAAGTTCCAATGAAAAATCGTGACTGGTGAAACCAACCAATTCGGACATCAAAACAGTTACTCAGCAACCACACGGGATGGATGTTGTGTTATATTGTGAACTGGAAGAAGCAGAAAAGGTGAGCGACTGGATACTGACTAAGCAACTCAATCATGACGTGCTCACCCAGGAACCAAAGTCCGATCCCTGGTGCAGTCATGAGTGCCAACTGCTGAGGAGTCCCTTACCAGGAAGAAACAGCAGTCCATTGCTCCCAGGTTTCCAGTGATTCTCCAACTGATGTCAGTCTATGATGAATATCAACCTCAAAATCAATAAAACTAAGTATTATTTTCCGTATAGTCTGTTGGCTCAACGCCCAGTTCATTCAATCTTAGTAACCCAACAACTAATATTTCCGGATATTTTCCAGCGGTTTATTGCGTTCAGTCCAATGGGGTTTGCTTTTTATTAGTTTTATTGATTTTTTCAAAAGAAAGGCCAAATAACGTCAATAATGACTGTATAGCCGTGGGATTTGATAGTTGTGAGCAGTAGAGTACCATATATAATTTCAGTATCAGACGGCCTTTATAAGCCTAATCCATCTGTACCTGATTGAATTTTACTTTCTTTTCAATGTAACTTGGTAGATAAAAGGAACTTATAAGAAGACCTACCGATAACAAAAGTCCTAATGTAAAAAACAGTTGCTGAACTTTATTAGTTTACAGATAGACTGTGTGGTAATTACAAATGCAACCAAATAAGAAATTCTAAATAACAGGAAGAATGAACTCAAGTAACTCCGCTAAGTCATTTCATATTTAGTATTTATTTAGCTGTTTAAGTGAAGTTCTTAGGATCTGTATTTGTCTTCATCGATTTTAGATCGCCAATTTAGATCAACGCATTCAGAGAACGCAGCAACAAGTGAAGGAATTAAGGAAAGCTGCAACTGGTGCAACGCCTGCAGGTAGGAAGTAACTATTAACCTCTTTTTTCTATTTGATGTAAACAGGTAAACAGATAATCCTTTGCTGAGATTTCAGTGCTTGTTGGTATTATTATTAAATATTAGCCAGAGTTACTGATGTATTTAGGCACTAGGTCAGTAAAAGATTTAAATAGGATGAATCGGTTCCAATAAGTGTATATTGAAGCTATTTCTTATAAATAAATTATAAAGTAGATTAGTAATTCCTTTGATGAAATTAATTAACGGTAAATACTGCATAGATTATGGCGCTGATATGTATGTGCATATATGTATAACTTTGATCTAACAGTAAATTTTATAATCAGAGTTCAGGATAAAATAACACCTGCTTTTTCATAAGAATATTTTTTGAATATAATCCAAGCGTGTTTAGAAAATCAAAACAAGATACTTCCGAACGTTTTGCTGTGTAAGCCACAGCTTCTTTAGCTGAATATACGGAAACGTTCAGAAATGTCTTGATTTCCTAAACACGCTGGGATTATATTAAAGTATATTCTTATTATGATTCAATCAGACTCGGCGCTCAACTTCTTCCAGGACATTCGTAACAACTATGGTCTGGATTTTATGATGTTTTTTTCATAGCTTGACTATTTTGTGATCTATGAGCTACCCTGGAGAAAACAAGGTTCTACAGAATACGTGAACCTCTAAACGTGTGAGTATACATATATAAACTGACCATTAATGAAAATCACTGACGGAAAATACATTCAGAAAGCTGTAATATGTATGGCAGCAAGCAGTGGAATTCAGAACGTGGGTTTCATCCTGTTCGGGACTCTTCAGCTCGATATTCCTGCATTTCAGCAGATGATGTAGTTTCAACTGAGACTTGAACCCAGTACCCATCATTTAAGACGCCAAAACGTTGTCCAATAGGCCATTGGTGAGCGACAGCTAACTTTTTGCGCAACGGATATTATTTGTTGTTGATACATTTACCCTTCCATTGCTATATCGGGTTGAATTTCTCGACCTCTGTTGACAGATAGGCTTCTATATGGCTGCCTCGATACAGCCCAACTACTCATCATATTGCAGTCTGGTGCCTTAGTGGCCTACTGGATAACGCCTTGGAGCTTAAAGCGATGGGCAGCTGGTGCAATCCCTATCAGAAACAGCAGTCTCTGGGCTGCAGGTAAATCCAACTGAAGGCTCCGGAATAGGCTGAAACACATCCTGGATTCCGCTGCTAGCAACCAAGCAGATAACAACACAATGACTGATCGGACAGTATGGAGACGTTATTATAGGAGCCAACCTTCCAAAAGAGGTCGAGCAATGCTACCAAATATCGTGACGGCAGAATGCAAGTATCAAACAACAGTATTTAGAAAGTTTTTACTATCTTGTTTTAATTTCTAGGCACCCTGGGATTATATTAAAATATACTCTTATAATGAATAAATCAGACTCGGCACTCAACTTCTTCCTCAACATACGTAACAACTATGGTCTCAATACTTATAGTCTCTATTATTTTTCTGTTTCTATTTCAAAAACAGAATGAACAAATAAAATGCAGAGCGATAACTACTATTTTTTAGCCACATTTGAAGTCATTCTAAGCACTGTCACAATCTTGCAGACAACATAACGCAGTCCTGAATCATTACCAACTACTGACCGAAAAATTCTTAATGTTTCTCATGTTTTGAAGTCAGGAGATAGATTACTTTCCCTTGTGTTCAAATGCAGAAACGATATGAAACTCTCTAAAGTGGCAGATATAGCTTGTATCCAGTCCACTGAGTTCATTGTTTCAAAGTGACCGAATTTACTCAATGTTGAGCTTTACGTATACCAATTGTCTTATATTGACATCTCAACTTACAAGAGCCTTAAAAAGAGATGGCTACTCAGCATACGTAACCACAGACTGCGGTTAGCAGCTTGTCGGGGTGCTAGTACACGTCCTCTTGCTTTTGCGCAGAAAATTGCCAATAAGGTTAGCACTAGTAAGTTTCCGATGAGAAGTACCCTCAAAAAGTTGCAACTCTTAATAATTCTGTCTAATTTAGTTTGGGGGTTTGTCTGAATTTAGTGATTTTTCAAGTTGGTATTCATCATGGACTGACATCTTTGAAGGAACATTGGAAAGCTGGGAGCACTCGACAGCTGTTTCGTTCTAATATGGGATTCCTCAGCAATATGCATCCATGACCCCACCAGGGATCGAATCCAGGATATTCGGGTTCCGTGAACAGCACGTTACCATTCAACCACTGGGTCGAAACCTAACGGTCCATATTTCCAACTTCTATCAGTTTACGACCGTTGGATTATGACCCAGTGGCTCAATGGTAACATGCTGTTCACGGAACCCGAATATCCTGGATTCGATCCCTGGTGGGGTCATGGATGCATATTGCTGAGGAATCCCATATTAGAACGAAACAGCTGTCGAGTGCTCCCAGCTTTCCAATGTTCCTGTAAATGATGTCACTTCATGATGAATATTCTAAATTAAATTAGGACAGACTGTCTCTCTAAGTAATCAGTAGTATCGAATTTAGACTACGAAACCCCTTCCCCATTAAGTCACAAAATTAAAAGGTGACTGCGAAAATAGTTATCTTTTAAACAACTCATTTTCCCAGTTGCACATTCATAAACGAATAAATAGAATGATAGAATGTTCCAGACAAGTTTCCTGTCAAAGGTCACAGTTGATCAACAGATGTAAAGAGAGAAAGAAATGAAAGCGTCCAACACTAGAAACGGTTTCGAACGTTTATCAAAATTGAAGGAAGATTTACTGAACAGTAAGATTTGGTATCTAGTAATACCTTCTCACTACAAAAATGCACAAACCAATAAATAAAATGCAAAAATAAAACTTAGACTGGTGCAGAGTGTGTATTTAAGACCAAGATGAAAAGCGTGATTGCACATGTTACTTCGGAATACATAATTGAGGTTTGAAGTGAAGAATAGCCAAATGTTCGGCAAAAAATAATCCTCACTCCCTTTTGAACGGTTTCATCGAACTTTATAGAGGATTCCGAAAGAAGGTCCCAGAGGAGCCAACTGTCCAGTCTATAGGGTGTTCAACGATGGGCCTGGAGATGGTTTTGTGTACACCTTTCAGCAAACAAGCTGAGTAAAGTTCTTGAGCACATTCAGTAGGCGAATGCACAGCACTGCGAATGTACTTAACTCTACAGGAGCAAATTGACTTGTAAATGCACGGTGATCAGCCTCAGTGCCCTAACTTTTTTTCAAGCACTAAAGAATCATATACTCATATGAAAAGACAATACAGTGGTTCACAACTTAGAACATTTTACTTATGAATTCTGACAAGTGTTGATGACTAGTGTCTATGGCAATATCACTTTTGAATCTGATGTTCAACAAAAGTATTGCCCTCTGCGGGAACTGAATGTGTTCAGTAGTCGTATTTCCTTTCATATTTTTTTCCTATTATTGTGGATGGGTAGCCATTTTCCAACAGTATTTATCGAATGGTTTTTAATTCTTGAGTAAGTGTATTATCAGTATGTATATTTCTTATTCCTGACGAGAGTAAGCGCTCAAAATTCCTCGTCCTACTTAAAGGCACCTAGCCTTGATGGTTTATTAGTTACCCTTTCCGAGTGAGCTTCCTGAAGATGGAACTTTGAAAGAAACAGTCAGGTTTCCTTGGAATTTAGACATCGAGATAGTTAAATGTTGATTTCGACTCAGCTTCCAGTGGAAATTTAAATGAAGGAAGGCTGTTAGTAAAATTCTAAAGGTGTGTGCCAAGTTTAGGTTGCCGCTGCAACACAATTGATATGTATTATCCATATGGCTTTTACGTTCATGAAGTTGATCGATTATTGAGAGCAGTATACTGTTATCAAGGCTAGATATGATGCAAACGACAATGAGGGGTGCTAGAAGCGATTTCATTGCCCACACCATCTGTTTGTCTGTAGATTTCGTTATCAAATCTAAGGTGGGCGTTGAAATAATGGAGAATATTTGTAGCTCAGATGCATAACCTTGGTTGTATTGCAATCTCTGAGCTAGGTGGCTAAATCGTGAAGCATTAGTCGTCTCTCTGGACAACACCATCATTTAATTTCAGTATGAAGTGAGCCATTAGGATTTCTTCGTCAATGATTCAGCAGCTTATTCTGACGAAAAGATTTGTGATTGGTTGTTTCTTTTGATTTTGTGTCTTTGACTGCATAATTTTTTCCGTTGGCCGTTTCTCTCTCTGATTTCTGACCTTGTAGTTGTTTTTCATTTTTTTTGTTAGTTGATACACTGAGTATGTCTGAGCATCTGCTAACTGCTGACTGACCTGAAAGCTAAGCTTCTAAGAATCCTCTGATATTCTTCTTGCTTTCTCTGTCCAAAACCTCTTCATCTTCAGTCATAAACTAAGTGCCTCAGGGCAGACTACCGGATCTCCGACAGAAAATTCCCGATAGCTCACTTCATATTGAGTTTATTGCTGACAGTATTGTCTAGGAAGATAATGAAAGCTATATGAACAAAACACCAAGCCCAGAGAACGTAACACAGCCGAAAGTTAACGTTAAACCTAAATCCTAGGCGCAGTTCTTCCAAGTGGTTGTGTGATAGACGAAGATCAAGGTTTTTGGATTGAATGAAATTATACAAGGAATAGTAGGTCTCTGTTAGTGGTACGTTTGGGAATAGTGATACGCGATATCTAATGGTATCATTCTTCTTCCGGACAGACTTGGATATTTGATTGACTCAATAGCTGTTTCTTCACCAGCTCAAGCATTTTCACAAACCACTTTGGGCTTTCGTGTTATGAGGAATTTGTCATGCCGTTTATTAGACAGTTAATGACGCCATTTTTATACACTTTTGGTAAACTATACAAACGTGGAGTAAATAGTGTCAGAAGGGCGAATTCACTTGTTGAGAACATTTCCAGTGATTGGTTCATCTTCCATTTCCTGCCGTAATTTACAGAGTTGCTCTTCTGTCTGGTCATCTGAGTT